ATTGTGCGGACTTAAAATTAGTTCAAGTCCACCAACACTATGCGGACGTCAAACGGGTTCAAATCCACCAACAACGAGGGTCTATAAAAGGAGGCACTCCCTCTTCAGAAGACATCCCAATTTATCTCAAGTTTTCGAGTCTTGAGTCTTTCCTCTAGCTTGTAACATTCCCATTGTTCCTCTATTTTCTCCCTCCCTTAAAGTCTCCTCCTCTGTTCTTGTTCTTCAAAGTCCGTTATATTCAGTGGTGTACTCTGCTCTGGTGTGTGTGTCCGGCTTCTTTCTCTACTCCAACACTTGTATTACTTGTCCTATCTAAGTTTTAGCTCTCATTATATAAGAAGTGTTACTCGTTGCTTTAATTAGATTGTGTTGCTCTGTATGTCATTACAATTTGTTCTTCATTATTTGCTTCCATCATATTTTGAATATTATGAAAATATTGGTATCAGAGCTTTTTCAGTGATATTTAATTCTGAAAGTTTTTTAACCAATTTATTTACAAGTTCTTGAATGTCTCCTTTCTTTTTCATTCGTTGTACGTTAAATTTTCTTGCCTCTATAATGAGAGAAGGCTTGAATAATAAAGCTTCTATGGGTTTTTCTTCTTCTTTTTTAGACGTATCTTTTCGAGTGTTAAAGAATATTTTCAATTCTAGTAGTTTGGTTTCCTACAGATTGAAGGAAAAGGTTAGTATAATTATTTTGTTCAATAACCTGGGCTATACCTTCACCTAGGGCCACCTGATCTTTATTTTTAGGCTCCATTTTAAAAGGAGTGGCCTTTTCATCCTTCTCGCTTTTTTATACGAGAGCAATTGTAGGGGGGTCAACCGCCTCTATAGTTCAGCCATCATTTGTATGAAAAGTTTAAAAATTTCTTGTGGCTACATTAATTTCCTGTCTAAGAAATTGTGGAACAATAATTCCCCTTTGCTTAAGAATATACCTACTTCATCTAAAGAATTTAACATTCTTTTTATGTTCTATCATAAATTTATTGTATTTTTGATGGAGAAGTTCTCTGAGTCTTCCCTTAAACTCGTTGAAAAACCATTCTCTAATTTATTTATTTTCATCAGAGTTAAAATCCTTCTTTAACCATTCATTATCTATCTGAAAGTCTTCTTGTTTTTGAATGGCATACATCCCAAATTTGAAATCATAAAAAGTAGGCTCTTCTTGCTTAACCTTTTGTTCTGGGACAGAATTAGGGGTATTTACCCAGTACATAGGTTGTTGAACATGTTCAGAGGTTTTTCTCAAACCTTCTAAAACAATTCTTTCATTATGGGACCTTTCATAATCTGTTTGTGGAACAGATGAGGTAGAAACCCTAAAAGGTACCCTGGGAGGACGTGTTGCTATCTTTAGCCTCGTCCTTCGGGATGATGGAAATTATATATATATATATATGCCACCATGCCATTATAAAATAATGAAACCACACTTCTAGAAAACCATGTTTGTGATATTTGTATGACCCAAAATTTTGCGCACACACTCTCTTCATCTCAATAATCAATCTCATCGCTCTAGACATCACATCCGCACATCATTCAGCCAAAAACATCATCATTTGGGCATCACATCGCTCAACTTGGCCATGACGTCTTGACGACATTTTTAAAGAAATTTTGCACATCACCAAAGACCTCAAAGTCACCTGGCAACACATGTATAGAGAAGCCATTTTTTATGCTGATAAGTTGGCCAAGGAGGGGGCATCCAGTTCCACTATAGGGACTTAATGCCACATTCCCTCTCTAACTCTTAGCGTGATCCTTTTCTTTTTTTTTCTTTGTCTAGACCCTGATTGGGCTGCTACCGAGTGACCCCTTGGGGGTCACCACACTTCTTGAAATTTTGGTTTTCATGAAATATAGTGAACTTTACTCAAAAAAAAAAAAAAAGATTTACATTTCACCCTATATATGGTCAAAATGAGTGCCCTCCGACAATAAATCTAGACCGTCCATTCGGTGAATTTCAAGATCTAGGCCTTTATGAATTCAAAATCAATTCTTTCTTTTTTAACATTGTTAATCTAATGATAATAAAGCTTTTTCTTTTTTAACATTGTTAATCTAATTATAATAAAGTTATCTAAAAATTGTGGAAAGCAAAAAGATCATTTTCAAGCCTAGAACTAAGTATCTCACCCAAATGGACGGCCTATGTTAAATGGGCTAAAAAACAATTTAAAGTGTTTTCAAATTTTTCTTTTTTTGTGATTGTTCATTAGAATGAAAAGAGTGTATATTCTAAAATTTGGGTCTGACCTTAACAAGGTTTTTTAATATTGTTTCATTATATTACTATACAACTGTTGCATGAAATCACTCCCCTATATATATGATACAACCTTTATAATACAAAAATAAGCAAAATATACTAGGTAGGGTCGGGTTGGATCGGGTTGGGACTGACCCAACTTGGTTAGGTCCGATCCAACTTGGTTTGGTCCGGAATGGACCCAAACCCATAGGGTTCAAAAGCTAGACCTGAACCTGAACCTTGGTCAAGACCAGATGGGGTCGTCTCTACCAAATTGCTAACCCTAAGTCCTAAAAGGGAGAGAAGGAGAGTTATAATGGATTACGTTACAGGTCCCTTAGGTGATACGCCATAGATGAGGCTATGCTTCTTCCCATATCCAGGTGCTTGGGGGACTCGTTCCAGTTGGGAAAAGTTTGGATTTGCCTCTAGTGGCTTATCAGCTACTCAATCAAGGTGTCAAGATGGAAAATTGGGTGTAGTTCACACGTTAGACTCTGAGAAGAGCAATGACATGTGCACTAGACTTCCATAACTAGGTTTTGGAGCTAATGAAGCACATGAAGTGTTTGTTGGATTCCACTATAAGTGATGGAACTCTTAGACATTATTTCCAATGATCTGGGAAGCTTCAGCAAGTTGATCAATCGCAAATCACCCTACAATATTCACAATCCTAAATAAATTCTAGAAACCCTATGAATGTAAGTTACATTGAAGTCTCTAACATCGGTCGATGGTGTTGACAAGATGCAGCATCTCCAAGTCACAATAACTATTGTGTCTGCTGACACTACAGCGGATCAAGATCAACATAAACATTGTAGGAAAGTTGAGTAGAGCAAACGAGCCCCGAAGCAAGTGAGTATGTTGTGCAAAATGTGACTATGAGTTTGGCAGTTATTGGAAAAAATTGGTGAAAATTTGCCGAAAAAGGACTAAAAGGTGGCAAAGAAACTATTTTCCATTTGCAATTGCTATAAGGGTGCCAGATTTGTGAGTGGGAATACCTATTCAAGTCCAAGGTTCCATATCAAAGGTGATGGGATCATAGCAATGGGTGTTTCTAAAGCACACATAGGACTTACAGCTTTGGGAGAGATTAGGAGCACATTAGAAAGGTCAAGATCTGGGTGTGTTCCTTAATACAGCCCCTGATCCTTTAGTTTAACAGTCCTGCTACCCTGCCAATTTATTTCTCACATCTATGTATGATGTATCTACCAGTAATGTAAACTATCTATGCACACAGTGCGATATATACATGTTCATTGGTAAGAAAAATAAGAAAGCTGTACAGAAACAAACATCATAATTTCTCATACCCCCGGCCAACACAAATTATTCTCTATGCAACTGGCTTATTCCTCTCAAAATATGGTCACCTACCTACCTTCATTCTTCTACCCTTGAAATCTTTGATTGATTTTCTGTTTTCCATATTTCACCCACAATCCTCCTGAGCTATTAACACATTTATCTCGAGAGAAAGCTAGCACATTTTTTTTTTAGAGAAAGCTATCCTTCTCCTGTAGCATACTTTTTGTTTCCTTCTCCTGTAGCATACTTTTTGTTTCACAAATTTCTGAATGGTACTCCTATAGGATTCCAAAACAATGATAGCATGATTTTTCACATCTGAGAAGTTTCCTCTCTGTTGAGTATTTTTCATACTCCCGCCCTGCTTCAAGGGATCACATGCACTTCACCAACTTAATCAAAACAAACTCATGGCCGTTAGGTCTACTACTCAACTAGCTGGTATATGTACAGCATAAGCCAAATTCAGTTCCACTCTAATCACTCATAGAGTATAAAGTTTTCAGGGAGTCGAGAAAAAGCTTCACCTCAATTCATCTCCTGAATATTATGCTTGCTTATTCCTAGAAAGTACAATACCAGTAGCCAATCCCGTCATGCAGCTAAGATGTTCGAGAAGTTTTACATAATAATTCAAACCAACTAAGACTATAGTGAATAGACTTGCTAGTTTTCATTTCAATTCTCAAGGTTCTGGTTCATCACATGTCCAGGCATCCAAAATAAAAATAGAAATCCGTAAAGTGTAGAATACTTGTGGGTCTCATCATGCCTACTCAGAAAATAGTGACAAGTACTTGAGCTCTTTAATATATTCCTCCATAATCAGAATATATAATACAAAACAGCGTAACAAATCCCCAGCTTTCTAGGTGTTTTTGTACAATCATAAAATACCATGTTTTCATTGAGCTCTACAACTCCTTTCGATCTTCTTTCCATTTAATCATAATATAAGTTCCAGAAATGTTAGATAATTCTCAAGTTCTAGGCCTCTGTCCAAAAACCCAAGCGAATAGAAATGTTTAACAATTCCCTCCTTCTATCTCCTTTCCCTTGATGCTTTATCCTTACTACCCAAATCAGTTTTGATTTTCAATCCATTGAAAAGCAATTCATTAAGAATGCCAATTATATCAATCCATGTTTTATAAAATTCCCTATCATCACATGAACCAATTAAAATTATAACATGTTAAAATAAATGAAAAAAAAAAAACATTAACTTGAGCACGTCAGTCATATCAATACTTCTCCCAATTCCCCAGGGGCTCATCAAAGATATAATTATGATACACAAAAAAAAAAAAAACCGCAACCATATCATCACATGGCACATTTAAAACCACAGAGAGATAAAGCTGGATGGATTGAGAGAGAAATGTACGAATGATAACACCTACCTGAAACCAAAGCTCCAAAGAAAGAACTCCTAATTCTCCCAATTAAGATCAATAAATGACATCTCCAGTTCCAAAAAACCAGAGCCCTGATCTCCCCCCACAGAGAGCATAACACATCCGACCAAAAAACCCTAATTCAAATCAATCAGACCAAAGATCCAGCAATCAAAACACAAGCCCTAATCCCAAAACTCAGACATTGATGAGAATTAGGGCAAAGTTAATGGCGAGAAGCCACCAGAAAATGTTCAGAGGATGTAGAGGAAATGAGAGGGACAGAGAGATCAGGGGCCGTGGCTTTTGAATTATGAGTTGGGTTTTTGTGTTATTTATGGGAGGCGAATATTGAATAATTAATTATTTTATCTTATTATTATTCCGTTTTTAAGAGTGTTTTCAAACGGGTAATTTAAGGCAGGTGGAAGACAGTGCAGTTTCTCTCTCTATCTCTATTTCTTCCTCTCTCTAACTCTATTCTCTCTCTCTCTCTCTCTTTCTTCTCACTTTCTCTCTCTAAAACTCTTTTTCATCCTCCTGGAACGCAGCTAGGCGAGCGGGGAGAAGGACGGAAAAATGTGTACGGGGCAATTTATTCAATTTTTTTTATTTAATCATAGGGGTATTTTAGCTATGACTAAATTGACCCTATGTTTTCAGTAATTTTCTGGACTATTCCTAGTTCGCGTGTGATATTACTGGGTGGTCTCCGCGTGTGAATTGTTGGCGCGGGGGGGCGAGTGCTCTGAGGGATACCCTTGTTGGTCCCTTTGTGGTGGACATTTTGAGGACGGAAACGCCCCTCGATATTCAAATTTCTGTGTGTATATTTATTCATATGTTGAAGTGGGAAATACAGTACCAACAAGCTTTATGATGATGCGTTTTCTCATTAAAAGGTCGGGGGCCTACATGCTCTTTTTTTTTTTTTTTTTTTTTTCATCAAAAAAAATTTGAAAAATGCCCTGTACAATTGTAAGATTATTATGGGCCCTACTCCCCATAGGGCCGGCAGGCTTTCTTCCCATAAGTTTCAGCCAAGGCCCAAGCCCTATGAGGGTTAGGTGGGGTGAGGCCGGACCAACAAAAATCAAAAAAATAAAAATAATATATATATATATATATTGGTAGATATATATACATATGGTAGGTCGAGCCGAACCAAGTCATCTTTGGCCCAGGCGTGGACAGGCCATACCTGGGGCTGTGGTTGCCTGGGCCCATAATTTGGAGCCTAGGATCTAATTTTTTAGGGACAGGCTGATTGGGCTAGGTTGGGTAGGTTGGGCCACTTGGTCACTGCCACCCTTAAATATCGGGCATGCATGCTAAACGAGCATTTAGGTGGCAACCCTTGAATAGTCTGATGTCAACGGTTGATGGTTAAAGAGTGTGTTTTAAAATGATGGAGCTTGAGCGATGGAAAGAAGAGTTTAGCCATTACTTGTTGATGGGTTCTTGAGAATGGCTGTTAATGAGTTGCTATACACATAATTTTGATGGAAGTCCATAATTTTGATAGAAGTTCACTGGGAAAGCTTAGGCATACAAGAAGTTCATTGGGAAAGCTTAGGCATACAAGAAGTTCACTATAGAATCTTGGGCGTACAAGAGTTTGTGAGAGTTTTGCGGGACTGGGATGGCACTATTCTTTATTGCATCGGTGGGCAATTACAATAACTAATCAAGCAGAGTTAGCTTCCGTTTTACAAGGTTTGAAAGTTTTTAAGGAGAGGCATATGAGTAGTTATGTCATAGTTGGAGGTGATTCTTTAAATGTGATTAAGTGGTGTAATAAAGTGCAAAGATTTTCTTAGAGTTTGAGGTTTATTTCAAGTACACATATAGAACAACTGAGATATCTGATGGACATGCAAAGAGTGGAGTATCTTTATGCAGGCTTGTTGTTTTCGATGAGCCGTATGCGTTATCATAGTTATTAGTTATGTTAAGATGCTCACGCTATAGAGCATTTTATAATTATACTTAACAAATATTAGAAGTTTGTGTGCCATTGTTTCGTACAAAGAGCATTTTTTTAGTAAGTGTATTTTTATTATTAGGAGGGACGAGACATCATCTACATGATAATGACATAACCCACATAGAGCACACTTGTGGCATTTAATGCTTCATGTTGGTGGCATCACACCCCATGTAGATGATGTTACACCCATCATAATGACAAAAAATGCCATTACTAAAAAACTATTGTATTACAGAATAAGGGTATATAAGCGTTCAAAATTTGTTGTGTATAATAAAATGGTATATAATGTGAGCACCCTAACATAACATTTTTCTAAATCTCTGATGAATAAAAAATTTGAACAATGTTAGAAAAATAATAATAATAAACTTGGTTCCTTCTAAATTTTTTTAAAAATACATAAATTGCCTTTTTAAGGATTGGGAACTATGGAGAATTATGCGTATTTTTTGTAACTTAGATCGAGCCATATAACATAAGCACTCTTATTTTGCCTAAATAACCAAATTGGCCAAATTTGTTCAAATAACTCAATCTTGAACGACGATAATTTAGATATTTTTTGGGAAAGTACCAAATTGAAATGTAAGTTAAAAGCCACTATTGCATCATTAAATGAGATCATTTGATCCTTTAATGATTTTGTTAGGGGCTTTGATCTATTGTTGATATTTTATTGTCAATTATTGTAGCCATTGCTTTAGCCAAAAAAAATATTATTAGATCAATTGATATGTAGACTAGAAAATTTTAAAATGTTACAATGAAGTTTATTTTAATTAAAGGGGTCATCATACTTTTAAATTTGAAGGGAGGGACAAATTTGAAAGGGTGTAGCTTTTGTGAGGGTCCAGCTTGTATAATATCTAAACTACATTATGAAGCAAGAGTTAAGGGGTGAATACGTAGGAAGAGAGAGAGACTAAAATTTTATGCATGTAAAGTAGAGATTTTAATAAAAGAGAGAGAGAGAGAGAAAGTAGAGATTTTAAGAAGAGAGAGATCTTGTTTCCATAGCTTATTGAGAAATAGGAAAAAAAACTTTTATCCAACCACTTCCTAAAATTTACGTGTGAAGAGTAGAGAAAAGAGGATCTCTACCAATTCCTAATATTTTATGTGTGAATAGTACCTATTTTAAAAAGAGTATAAGAGATAATCACCCAATTCAATATTTTAGAAAATCAACATTTTAGTCGGATTTATTTGAGATATAATGAGAGATTTTGAGAAGGAGAAAGAATGTGAGATTTTAGTAGGATTTATTCGAGAGAATATGCACAAAAAGAGATAATGAGAGATTTTAGAAGAGATTTTGAGAAAGAGAAAGAGAGTATATGCAAGAGAGAGAGATTTTAGAAAAGATTTTGAGAAGGAGAGTGAGAGAATACATGCAAGAGGGAAGTAGAAAAGGAGAAGAGATCTCAATCTATATCTCACCTATATCTTAAAATCTATAGTTACTATTCCATCACCTAAAATATCTATCTCATGCTAAGAGAGAGAGATTCCATATATCATGCTATGTTAAGACTTTTATCATAATTAGGTTTAGGAGTCTTATAAATAGAAGTCTCTCAACCTTTCAAAATAGTTTAACATGCCCCTCTCAACAATGTGT